TCATAAAATTTTCAGGCCAAAGTCCTACTCTATAGGAAAGGTTTAGTGGCATTCTAAGAAGCCCTTAGTCGTACAAACATCAAACGCTCTACAGAATGCTGGACATGCCAACAGCTCTGTCAAAGTCAGCTCATGCACAAAAATTGTGCGGGTCTTAAGGAAACAGTACTGAAATGGTTTACCGCATATCTCAGGAATAGATCACTTTTAGTCAACGTTAGTGACTATTTTTCCTCATCTGTTGTAGCCAAACTTGGGGTTCCCCAAGGGTCTATTTTGGGCCCTATTTGGTTCTCTTTGTATAAGTTAGGTAGCATGACATTTCATTTCATTGTTATGCTGATGCACAGTTGCATATCCCTCTAGGGCCTGATGAGTGTCTCTCTTTGAAAAGGCTGAATGACTGTCGCATGGATATTAAAATTTGGATGGCTGATAATTTCCTGCAGCTTAATGAAAGTAAGACGAAGTTTACTTTATTTGGGTCCCCCTAATTGACCAGCATTTTAATGTAGAATTTGGGTGATCTTTTACCTTTGGCCAAATCTCATATACATAATCTGGGAGAGATATTTGACTCAAATTTGCTAAACAGGTATCAGCAGCAGTTAGAGGTATCTTAAGACAATTCTTAAAATTAAAACATTTCTTTCTTTTGGTGATTTGGAAAAAGTGATAAATGCTTTTATTTAATCACAGTTAGACTATCGTAATTTGTTGTATATTGAAGTGAGCCAATTATCCTTGTCACGTCTACAGCTGGTGCAAAATGCTGCTACTCGAGTACCTAGTGGTGTGAATCAGAGAGAGCATCTTACTCCAATCCTAGCTGCATTACACTGTAAAAAATGGCTTCTCAGTTCAACCTAAAAAATTACTTCATGTAGTAACAAACATGAACTAGTTTTACTTTGATTGAAAGAACTGTTTATTTAAAATATTTATTTAAGTCATAATAATAGTTAGAATAAAACTAGTTAGCTTACTTGTTACCACATGAAGTATCTTTTTAGGTTGAACTGACGAGCCATTTTTTACAGTGTTCACTGGTTAATGGTTAACAAAATATTTTTATTTCTTTTTAAAGCTCTTAGTAGGTTGGGTCCAAGATATATTTCAGATTTGCTTTGTTCGCACTCTGCTCCCAGATCCATGAGGTCATCGTGACAGCAGTTTCTGACTGTTTCCCATTCTAGGCTTAAGTTCAAATGCATGGTCACATTTGCAGGAACTGCTCCAAGGCTATGGAACAGTCTACAATTTTTTTATGTATTAGCAATCGAAAACTGATGACTTGGTCAGTCAAATGATGCATGGTTGTTGTGGGTTGTGACCATCCATTTGTCTTTTTTTTAATAACCTGTTCTATACCTGTTTTTATGTTAAGGAGCAGCACTTTGGATCAATAACAGTTGTACAAAAACATGCTACTTCCTGCTGCTTACTTACAAACTACTCCAAATCTATACAGTGGCTAGTATCACTGCTGGAGCTTTTTTAAAATACTTATTCAAAAGCAGAGGAGCGCAGCCTGATCCAGGCCACAGGCACTGGTCACACTGCATGAGCTCCTGCTAAAAATATAAAGCACAGAAAAACGCCCTAGGCTAATTAACACAAGTGCTTTTTGTTCTTCATTTTGCACAGCTACAAGTCCTGCTAATTCAAGCCAAAGACTGCCAAGCCTGGAATCAAAGAAAGCCCACTCGGTATTTGAAAGATCTTTAAAAATATTTATTAGCTAAGAGGCTTAAAGAGTGTGTCGGGTGACCAGGACACAGCAGCACGCTGGGAAGTGTGTAATTCCTATGATTAAATTATATGCCAGATTAAAAGGCCTGGGATGGCTATAGTACAACGCTGGGCTGTTAAGGAAATGTCAGAGAACAAAAAAAGAAACTGAGATATCAGCATGTTCTCCATTCCTTCCGGAAACATCATCCCCCATGCCCCACCGAGCCGGAACCATTAACGAGTTGAGAGTGACGGAGGAAAAAAACTCCAGAAAAAAAACTAGATAAATATGTGCGATGACTCCCCATTCGGCCGTTACATGCTGGAGCGAGAAGAAGAAAGCCAGCTAGACCGGTTCTACTATCTCTCCTGGATAGAGGCTTGATCTGGAGGCTGATAAGTACTGAGATAACGACCACCAGCATGAAGAGTGGCAGATGGAGCGGACGGCCTATCTTGGGCTTTGCTCCGTATCAGTCTAAACCCTGCCTCAGCTGCAGCCATCTAAGTCCTGAATCAGCACAATGTTCGTTTTCACATCCTGAAGGACACTAGGAGCCTAATCTACAGTCGCAAAGTTCACCATTAACAACCCTCGTCACTCAGCTGTGCCGGGGGCTATTTAGGAGGCCAGCATGCATACCAGCTCTGGTAAGTCCAGTGGATCATCTGGAGCTACAAAGGCAGCACAAGGCAGGCTGTTTCATTACACTGACCACATCTTTATCCAGCAATAAGTGCAGCATGATAAAAACCTAAAACAGTAGCATATGTGTGATATAGTCCAAAAAAAAAAAAGAAATGGCCACGCGTCTTTTCCAATATCGACAGAAATAATGAAACTTTTGCTACCTTTAGACTGCAAGTAAATGCACCCCACATCTGATTTACTGCCCAAAACCAAATTTGTTGTTTGGTCGTTCATATTATCTTTTTAATTCGGCCTGAATCTGGCATCATTTTGAACAGATCACGCTCCTGAACTGACCCGCATGTGCAGAAGAACAACAATACATCCAGTGTACTCTACTGTTCAACAAACTCTACTGTCCTTTACTTTTCATTAACATTACTACACTCCTTTCACATCAAACTTTAATGTGTGCAAACTGCTGCTTTAAAATCGGAGAACAAACAGTAGACACTAAAATATACATAATGAACAAAGTGTTGAATTTCTGGGCTTGTTTTTTTGTGGAAGCCGACCAAACAGAGACAGGAAGCTCATTTTCTTTCATTCACAAGCTGTGAAAAAGAATGATAGCAAAGTCAGAGCCAAACTGGCGATATTTCCCGGATAAAGAGACTTGAGCCACATAAAGCTCCATTAACTCTTTTGCTTCTCTCTATTTTTCTAAACGTCCTTGAGGTGAATGTGAGTTTGAATAGCTGTTAGTTGGATTTCTCTTGTTAGAAAGCACTGTGTTTACCTGTTTAAACTGCCTGCACTAGACTCACTCCTTCAAAACCAAAGACATGAAGCATTACCATGTTCAGGTGATGTTGCTGTAAAGGGTCTGCACACACAAAGATATGATTAAGCCTGAGCTGCACTGGCGTAAAAGTCATGAATACCAACCTGACTGTTCAGACTGATGTCATACTGCCATGTACTGGATATGTATTGGATTTCAGTACCACATATGAAAGTGGCTCAAACTGGACCTAAAGACATCAGATTCAATGTTTTTGCTGCTCATACTAGCACACAAAAAGCAAATCTGTGTCACATATGAAGAAAAAGATTTGGGCCACTTTTACGCACAGTGTGAACGTAGCCTTATTGGCCAACACTGATATCGATATGATATTTTTATTTTAATTAAAAACTGCTAAGCTTTAAAAGTTCCTGTTTCTGAAATGAAGCACATGCAGCACAAAAGCATGCAAAATGATAATAAGGGATGCACTGACACTTTGGTCATATTTTTGGCCAAAAATTGTAAAAAAAAGGCACTTTTGTGTCTTGGCCAAAAGAGAAAATAGAGAGAGAGAAAGAAAAAAAGAATAAACAGGCCTACACTGAAGTGTCAAAATCTAAGACCTTACAAATCATTTTAATGAAAATAACAAATAATGATTAAAAACAATTTGTTTTCTGCTCTTTTCTGCACCCGTCAGTGTCATTTGAGCAGCAGCAGATCAACAATAAATATATCGGCAGTATAGAACCTTTTTACGGTTTCTATGAGAGACATTATGCAAGCGATTCTTTGTCACTGCTCATGCTGCGGACACAATACTTAAGAATTTCTCCTTAATGGGTTTGATACCACTTAAAACCACAACATCCAGCAAGATTTGCTTGACACAGCAAAATGACAGAAGCAGGAAGTTCCTGCCAGCGTCTGTAGCCACAGTTTTTGAAATGAAAATAAATAAATAAATAAATAAAAATTATGACAGTGCTAAAATGCAATGTATAACTAAAACAATGGAATTCTTTGTCATATCTGGCAAACCATTCACTGTGGCAGAGGACAGTGGTTTCATGGCATACACAGTAGCTCACAAATTGAAATCATTGTTGTATTTAAGTTTTAAATTTGTTATTTTTTTATAAATGTATGGTTATTCTAGTATAATACTTGACCACACACTCAAAGTTCTTTTGTTAAAAGGCTACAAGCACTTCTATAATTTTTCAGGATAGATTTGTTACATAATTCATACACTTTTTTCTCCAATATTCAAACCAGCACTCGTTGCTGGTTTCGTCCTGTTACTGATACTGAGTATCGGATCAAGCCGTCTCTACAAATGACGCCATAACACTATTTGTACAGCCTTACTTGGCTTCACAATCTACAGGGCATTTTGTTCCATTCTTTTCCTTCCACAGGGACGATCACTGTGGTTCTCAGCACAAGATCTATGACTCCAATCTTTCTCTGGGCTCAGACAAACAAATTCAACAAACAGATATATCACACAGGTACACATTGGTAAGACAGGCAAGGTAGATTGCAATCAGCCATGGGAATGTAAGTACGTATTATCTCACGTTGGGAATGAAACGGGAAAACAGCTTCAGGCAGATATGAGGAGCACCAAAAGTCCCAAAGACTGGCAATGCATGGGGGTCAATGAGGACACAAGCTGCCATCAAAAAAAAGGCACTAACGATTCTACAATCATCCCCAAACAAAATCTACTACACAGAAGAACCCAGTGAAATAAATGTAACCACCCACCATCAGTGCACTACTAAACACCGTATAGGAGACTTCTTTTTCTCACTGCCTGACAGTGACTGTTTAGGATACATTTCCTCGAAATAGTCAATGTGGGGGGGCTGCAGGATGTCCAGAGCTGACAGGACCTGTAAGAGTCAGAGAGAGAGAGAGACAGAGAAAGAGAGAGAATGTGCAACAGGGGATCAGCACTGATGGCAATGAGCACAGGCACTGACACCAGCCTTCACATGACATCAGCCTGTGAGGCCCCAGCAGCCTGGGGAGAGCTAACAGCCCACAGAGAGCAAAGGTTAGGTAACGTTAGCCCAGACAAAGGCTGTATTGGAGCTAAGCGACACACTGTCAATACTGGTATATGGATATTAGTATAACACAACAACACTGGATTTTAGTTTTAGCTGCGTAACCGCAGACAAGTTCAATCAAAACGTTTTTAAGACTTTTTTAATACCACAATGTGACAATATAGAAATGTAAAACACACTCTTAACATACAGTCATATGAAAAACCTTGGGCGCCTCTAGTCAAACATTTTGTTGAAGTGAAAACAAGAACAGATCCTCCACAGAGAACACACTTCTACACATTTCAGTGTACAATTATTGTTTATTTGCTGATTTTAACATAATGAAAAAATAAGACATAAGATGTGGCCTGTGCACAGTTATGGAACATTTTATATTTGATATATTTTTTTCCAATATGCTAAATAAATAAAGCAAATAAACAGAAATTGTGCACTAAATTTTGCAGAAAAATGTCATATTTAAGTTCTCTGTAGAGGATGTGTTAACTTATTTACACTTTGAAAACCAACAAAACAAGCAGTTTGATTGAGGATGTTTAAACTTTCACATATGACTGTAGCTCACAGCCATTAGGGGACGGGCAATATGACAATATTTATCGCTATTGTGATGAATGACATCACATTATGTCACAATATGGTTTTCTGAGCATATCATCAGTATTTGAAGAACACCAACTACATGTTTTATAACAAAGAGAGCATAATTAAACCTGCTTTATTGGATTTAGAGCAGTATGTAAAACGTTTTATAAAAATCATGGTAGTAAAAAGCATAAAAAAGTGTTTAATAGTATTTTAAATGTGGCACTGCTGGTTCTTTTTGTCTGTTTCAATTTATCAAACCTCAGAAAAAAAAACTAAATACTGTGATGCATATTGTGTACGATGAAAATGTCTTGATGTCATTCTTTTGCCATGTAGCCCATCCTTAATAGCCGTATCGACATATTGTGTATGGTAGCTCCAAAGTAGGTAATGCTAGTTTAATGCACTTCCCTGTGTTGCATGAGCAACCCTAAATTATTCTATGTACGAGAGTGACAGTAGGTCAAAAAAAAAAGAATTTAATACTTAATAAGATCTCTAATTTGTAAAATGTAATTTTAGGCAAATTAGAAGACTTTTTAAGGACCTCCAGACACCCTGCCATTTGTACTGATATGTTACACCTTACTTAATGTCTGTCATTTGCTAAGTGTTTCAAATTGTTTTTAAAGAGCAGATTAAAATTCATAAAGATTCAACAAATGGTACTTTAATTCTGGTGTTTGTCTGGTTAATGCTTATAATACTGTATAAGGTTCTCTTTGGTGTGATTTTGAGAAAGAAAAACAGACAAGCTTCAGTCATTTGCAAAAATTTGAATGCCCCCAGTCAGAGGAAATGCATTGCTGTGAAAGTGAAAATCAAATTAATATATCCTCTTTGTTTATCTATTTATCTAGATGATATCTATTTATTTGCTGAGTTTAACGTACTGGAAAATAACAAAACATAAAGTGTAAAATGTGCCTTATCTTTTGCACAGGCCACAATGTATGTTTAATGTTTTGTCCAATATGTTACATTTAGCAAATAAACAGTGATTGTGCATTAATATATGCAGAAGTTTGTTCTCTGCAGAAACTTATTTTCACTTAGAAAATCAGCAAGTCAACAACCAAACATGTAATCTGACCAGGGGTTCCCAAACATTTGCATATGACTGTAGGTCAAGTTTGGAAGGTATTCGTCCAGTATAGTGTACCGTCAGTGTAATCAATTAAAGAGACATAAAGATAATCTGGTCCTGTGATAACGAGATTTATTGGGCAAAATAGTGTGATGTTGATTTTCATCAATTTCAATCAACCTCCCAATCAGATCAGAGCTGGTGGAGGGGAATGTGCGAACTTACATTATCATGCTTGAAGAAGCAGAGCATCTTCAGTTCACGGAAGACCCTCTTGCAGGAGACGAGGTTCTGGAAGACGTTGGGCATCTTTTTGAGGGCCACGCGCTTGCCGTCCCTGGGGTCAGTCACTGACCTGAGAGAGGAAGAGAGGTGCAATGAGCAAAGGTCTCGAACGCAGCAGAGACTCTGTTCCTCAGGGGTGAAACCCAAGTCACTCTGATGGCCTTCAGCACTTTTTTCTGTAAAATCAGCCGTGGAGGTCAGGCTGATTTTATAATGTGGATTTCTCTTTAACTTCCATCACTTAGTCTGGGGAGCTCGACAAAGCTCTACAATCTGTAGCCGAATGTTAAAAATAGATTTATCACCGCTCTGCCTCACTCATGTCGCTGACAAAGACAAGGTCCCCAATGTAGGATTAAAAGGTCAGCACAAACGAGACTTCTCCATTCTTTCGCAAATCATTTTAAAAATTACAGGACACCATTAGGAAAGAAACACACACAGAGCTAAACTCTCACAGACTTCATCAGCATTCACTTAACCTTTAGAAGTCACAGTTGTCATTGGTGACAACAAAAGCATGGTTTAATTCCATATTAATTATAAAAGGAATTTATTTCATGTCAATGTGTTTTGATGTGAACTGATTCACTACAGAGAAATTTCACTATAGAGATTCACTATAATGAGAAACCTACCAACTCATTTTTCTCTATAAAGGTGGTGTCTGGAACCAAGGGCCACAATGTCTACAATGCAATACAGTAGGTCCAGCCCAGCCACAACCCCAATAGGGCCAAATCCTCTGGACATTCTTATTCTGGACCAAGCGACAGGCAGATTCTACAATGCCAAGGCAGCAACAATTTGTCTGTGGACTGATGCCATTAACTATGTTAAGACTTTGTAACCACTGACATTCTGCTAATGTTGAATACTTTTATATACACTGTCTATTTTTTCTTATATATATATATATATATATGTTCTTTTTTTTAGCCCCTCACTCCAGTCCTTTTCCATTTGTGCCATGGGTATGCAGATAATGTTGACTGTATGTCAACTACGGAAAAACAATAAAAAGCTATTAACAAAATAAATAAATAAAATAGTGGCAAATCCAAAAACAATGCATGTACTTCTCCACCACAAACTGATGAAACAATACACATTTTAGACAAAAAACTATTTCTCGGGCAACAGGCAGTGTGTCCATAAGCATTTCAGGTAAAAATTTTCTGTGAAGGAGCTTTAATAACCATTAAACTCATCTGGTTCCTCTCAACTCTGAGTCGGTTAGTTTCTCTAGAGGGGAGTATTTCACATCAAGCCACTCTGAATGACTTTGTTTATATCTTAACAATTCAATTATGCAGAAACGTTTAAAAATCCGAGGAATTTCTCTTTGATTATAAAATTCTAAACATTCAATAACAGGCTTGTATTCATAAGAAAAGAAGATTTTTTTCATGATTTGAATGTGATGAAAACTTATTGTGGGTTTGGTCTTGTTTTCCAGAAAGAAATAAACATCCTTCACATTTTTGTCATTGCTTTGACACCAAAACACTTCAGAAGTACGAACTCAAAGCTGTTGACAGAGAATTTACCAAACACACCAAGTCAAATGTCAATGTAGTTGCACAAGTCATTCTGAACAGCAGCAAACCCAAGTAATAACTCTCGAGTTCTTTCAGTATTTGTCCCTGATTAGCTGTTAGACATTTAACATCTGATCAGGGATGTGTTCATGAAACACAGCACACAATCTGCTTCAGAAGAGTGGATATAACAAACAGTGAGCCAGACTGTAGAGTTCAAAAACAAGTCCCAACAGAAGCTACTCTGTCTGCTCTTTTTTCGTAACGATCAGGAGGCTGCAACACTCAGCAGCGAATCCTCAGAGGGCTGATAATTGGAGCACATAGCGTTGTGTCCCAGCGCACCTCATCTGAGGCGTTATGGAACATCCTGAACTCCAAACAACACGTAGGCTCCTTCCTGCTGCTAATGCAAGCTTCCAGCAGAGAGCCACGATAAGGGACGGAACTCTGCATCCTCACAGACCGCAAAAACCAACAGCCCAGCCCCGACTCTGAGCTAAGAGTGACTCTGCACAAAGTGCATCAGCTGTCTGATATTTTATGATATCATTAGATACTAGACTGCAGTGCTGAGAAGTGTCCAAGAAGCTGTTTCCTGGAATCGATCCATAAAAACAACAGCTTCACTGACTGCGCAAAGTCACTAACGTGTTAGTCATTAAAGCTGCCCCATAGTGAACCAAATCAGGAAAATGTATGACATTAGAGCTGTCAACTACTCTTTTTTATTCATATGGGAATGCAAAGGGTACAGCTGTCCAAAAAGAGCAACTTTCATTGACATCTGAATCAAACGTACAAGAATAAAGGCCTTAACCCTAAACTCTACTGATCAGCCAAGACATGTTTGGTGCACTGGACCTACAGGGCTAATGGAGGAAAGTTTGCTGCCAAAAACAGTACTGGTACCCTTCTTGAGGCCTGGATGTAGTCCATACTTTTCTCCATTTTCATTAGTCATTCAGTGTCAACCACATAAGCTACTACTTGAGTTTACTTAACAATTAAACACACTTTGAGGCCAGTGTGTGATGATCAATGTAGTTTGCACAATGCTATTTTGTGAGTATAAAGTCTCCATTACGTGTCAGACACATTAAGCCAGCAGTACACTTCAAGCAAAAATGACATTCAGAAGCAAAACAATCTTTCTGGCCATAATTACACGGTGGTTTGAGTTTGTGTAGACAAATTCTAAACAGACCTCCTAACCACTACCCTGTTTGTTCTGAGACCTCCACCAGACTGTGACTGGTCAACAAGTCACATGTCTGCCTGTGACACTGCATGGGACAGAGCTCTAGTGGTGCTGAGTGAGAAAGATGTACACAAGTGGGGAACTGTCAAGGCCTTAGGGTTTGATAAGGCCTGATTTCTGTCCATTTTTATTTAATATAATCATTATGACTGTCTTATTTCAACGTTAAGTGTTGGTTGGAATTAAAAAGGATATATTTCTTAACTGCCCAATGGAAAATTGTCCAATTAGGATTTTTTCCCCTGTGGTGTATGGTACACTCTCAGAAATAAAGGTATGAAACTGTCACTGGGGCAGTACCCCTCTTGTCACTCGCTCCAGGCTTTTTGTTTTATTGTTCTGTTTTAAATCATTAGGTTATGAAAAGGTACAAATCTGTACTTTTCACCTGGAAAAACACAGTTATGGTACACAATTGGACCTTAAATCTACTGTTGTACCTTTGAGGGTATACTTACATTGCATGTACCTTAATGAACAACAAACATACCTGCACAGAACCTTTATTTCTAACAGTGTAGACACAGCCAAGTTAGCGCTCCCTCTTGTTAGGACTTTAGGAACTGAACTGAAGGCCTAAATGCCTGTCAGATTTACCCCTAGCATAATTAGGAAATGACAGATCAATCTACCAATCATAGTTTGATTTAGAATGGGCGGGACCAATTTGGAGAGAAAGATGTCCCTGTAGGCTTTCAGGACGTCCTAGATAAAACAAGCAGTAGCCTGACCAATTGTTGTGCATTGTCAGGTGTCAGAAATGGAAAACAGTGACAGCTACATGTCTTCTTTACTGAAGGAGTCATTATAAAACTAACAGAAGCTAAAATATATGTTAAGGTGTGTTACAAGCTCCAAATAAAAGATGGAATGCCTTTTATAAATGTCCACATTTAATCTAGAACGGCCAACTTTAAGGTAAATCACTGTTAGCTCAACACTATATACTGCTAGAATCACACAGAGGCACTATCAGAAATTAGCCTTATTATAAGGGTGTTTTTTCCCTTTAAATCATGTCTTTAAATCATGCTTTAACATTTGTAGCCTGAACTGACGTTCTAGCTTTAACAGACATGGTTTGCCATTTATGCACACCAAGTTCTTTATAAGTATGCTTCCAACAGTGGTTAAACGATAGCAGTTGACTGATCGACTACACTTCTACATAGGTAAATTTGATTTTTCACACTATTGCTTTCAAAATGAGGCATATAATGTACAAGCTGCTCTTCTGAAACGGGCACTATGACTGCATGACACTCCACTGAGCACTTTCCACATACGGATGTGTAGTCACAAACTCACACACTGTGGCAGATCCATGAGCTCACGAGGCGTGAGTGTCCTGCCCCGAGCCCCCACACCGCCTCAGCTCGCGGGCTAACTGAGGAGGCCACTGATGTATTCACGCCCGTATTTATTTTTGGAAATGGAGAGAAGGGAAGTCCCACCACTCAGTGAAGTATGATCTGCTACTGAGGGCATGGCACTGTGGGGATAATGCAAGTCCGGCGAAGGATCATGCATTAAACATAGCCCTGTGCTGTAAAAAGACGACAGTGAAAAAGGCCTTTGAGGACTTACAGCAGGACACTGGATCAGCATGGCGGAGAAAGGGAACTAGATGTTGCACAAGATAAGTAAAAGGTGAGGGGAATGTGCTAAAAGAAGACTTTAGGTAATGTGACCTTCCAAGATATTATCTCGGGAAAAAAAAGTCATGCTGAGCTGTTGATTGAACGTATTGGGAAAACATTGATTGACTCCATAAATAATTAACAGAGAACGTTGCTTGGGGCACACGTACATGCACGCACCAACACACAAATAGATACACATTCACTGAGCCTGGTGCAGGCATGTGATTCATGAGCTGGATTAAACAACAAGGAGAGGGGGAGGAGAGAGAGACAGAGCAGCTGGTGTGAGAGAGACAGTGTGGGGGGGGGGTATTAACCCTTAGAAACTGTAATTCAGTATTAATTATTTGTTAAAGGGCCCGTCTCATGGTAAAACTAACTTTGCTTTCTTAATAAAAGAGTTTGGTGTAGCATGTTTATTAGAAAAGCTTCAAAATGCAAAAGCTTCCCTCTCCACTCCATACTGTCCATATATGGAAACTAAGCTGCAAAAACAGCCTGTTTTGAATCCACTGTTTTTGTGATGTCACAAAAAAACAAAGACTTTTGCATACATAGACATCAGCAAAACAGCCCAGCATCAACTATACATTTTGGAGTACAATAAATGCATCATCAAATACTG